CTTTATTTTTTTCTTTTTTGGACCTAGCCTCAGAAGTCATATAGCATAACTTCCACCATATTCTTTGTTAAAAGCAACTCTTAAGTTAGGTCTGCATACAAGGGAAGTGAAACTAGGCATCACCTTTTGAAGGGAGGAATACCAAAAATTTGTGGGCGTATTTTAAAACCACCACAGTATGTATAGCTCTGTCTGATTGATTTTGATATTTGTGCCATATTTCATAATATGGATGTCCCATAATTTCCTTGACCATGCCCCAGTTCGTAGATATTGTTACTCTTCTAAACAGTGCTACAATGAACACACATGTATACCTTTACCAGCTTTAGCCAGGATTTAGCTAGATTCCTAGAAGTGGAATTGTTGAGTCAGTAGTTGCTGGGGTTTTGAAGGAGGGCTCAAGGGAACAGATCACTCCTAACTAAAGAGCCTGATTGTATACCAACATGTTTTGCCTTTCAGCTGTGTACTGGGTAGATTATTCAGAAAAGTGTTTGAATTTGTCATTGCATGTAATCAGTCTCATAGAAACAGAAAATATCTCAAAACAATTCGCAATATAAAAAAATTTAAATATTTATACTATGAGGAATGAATGAACTAGAGCAGTCGATGTTAACATGAATGGAATTCATTAACATAATGTTGAGTACAAAAAAGCAAGAACAGAAAAGCACCTTTAACATTATGCTAGTTGTATAAAATTTAAACGTGAAAAACAGTACTATATTGCTTAGAAATAGTGTGAAGTAAAAATATAAAGAAATATAGAATAGATTCAGGATAGTGGTTCTTCTGACAGAATTGCAGTTGAAAAGGGGCACACCTTTTGGGTATTTCTTAACTGGCAAAATTTTATTTCTTAATCATAATGGTGAGAACACAGATACTTGTATTACTCCTTGTACCTTTTGTAAGTCTTCGGTATTGCTTAATAAGAATTATACCAGGCTCTGGGCCTTTTAATTTAAAATTTTAAAAATTTAATAAGCTCTTATTTTAGTTTCAGTTTTTAGTATTAAGTATGTGCATTTGCTTATTGCGGTTGATTTTGGTGCAATGAAGATAGTCCATAATAAAATTAATACCTAAAGTAAATATAGCAGGCTCTGGATTTTAGGTGGATTTTCAACAGGAATAAAGAGGAAACTAATGAAAATTTATCTCACCAGGCTAGGAGGAAATGACCTGTATTAAAGCAAGGTCTGCTCACCACCTTTATCTGACAGTGAGCGATTTAGGGCATTAACTTAAGCTTCTGAATCACAGATTTCTTCTCTGTATGTTGCTGGGAGCAAACCCATCCTTGACTCTGGTACAATTTCTAGCATTTAAGCAAGTAATGTATTTTTAGTAATTGCAAGGTTTGCCTTTTTCTTTTGTTGTGCAAGAAAAAATTGTTCAGTGTTAAATACTAGATTTTCTAATGCCTTTACACAAAGAATTAAAATTATTTACTAGTGGATACTAAACTGTACAGTTGTCATGTCTAGGATTTTTTTTTTTTTTTTCTGACTGAATATCTCTTTGTTGTGGTGCTTTGAGCTTGTTAATGACCAAATTCTTATGTGGCAGCTGCGCATTACACGTGCTTATTCTCCATGTTTAGGCCATAAATCTTCTGCAGCTGAGTGACAGCCCCACCTGCACAGCCTTTCAGGTTGCAAATATAGTTCTAATAATGTTATTTCAAATTTTTCAGACCTGTTTTCTCACATATTTTAGCCCTGTTGGGACCGTGGAATATTTCAGGGGATGAGAAGTTGTTACTGTTTTGTGTGTGCTTTACAGTGCAGACAGACTGGTAGTGTTTTCTGTGTGTAGGTTTGTAGAACATGGAACATCAAGAGTATTTGTTCCATACCCAACTGAGGCTTATTAAATATCTAGAGCTATTCTGAGAATGTTTACATTATTATTTTTTCTACCCAAAATCCATTACTAGCTTATACTTAACATGTTGAAGGTCAACAGCAGGGCAGTGACAGTCACCACCCTCCCACCCCGCAACCAAAGCTTTTCAACTTGATGGCACTGCTTTTTGTGAGTTAACATAGGCACTAAGAACAGCTACTCCTGAGCCAAACAACCTAAATTCAAACCTTGGCTCCTCCCCTTACTGCTTTGTGCTCAGGTTACTCAAACTCTCTCAGTTTCATCTGTGAAATGGGGGCGACCCCATCTACCTCCTGGGTAATTATGGAAATTGTAATATTTTAAAAATATTTGGAGCTGTGTCTGGCTCAGAATGAAGACTGTTTAAGTATCCATTAAATAAATACTGAGTTGGCCAAAAAGTCCATATTGGTTTTTTCTGTAAAATGAAGGGCACATTTTTCATTTTCACCAATAACTTTATTAATGTGGATATTTTGAACATGTCAGCTGTCTCCCACAATTGGCTTCTAGTGGGTAGAGGCCATGGGTGCTGCTAAACATCTTCCAATGCATTAGACAGCCTCACAGCAAAGAATTATTGGGCCAGACTGTCAGTGGTACCAAGAAATTTCACAAACCACTTTCGACATATTTGGTCAGTCACAGCACCATCTCCATGTACATCACAAATCTTTTTGTTGCATTTCAGTTTTGTTTTTACCTTCCTTGAAATGATAAAGCATAATATGCTGAAAATGTTACGTATTTTCTTCCATCTTCACTATTAAAATGGCTACACAAAAATTCACCATTTTTTTTTAAATGTACGCTACTATGACAGCTGTCAATACAATCCATTAAAATTGTTTTGAATAAAGTTGAAGACAACTAAGCACTACTAGAGCCATCGTACATAAAAAACATAATGGACTTTTGGCCAGCTCAGCACATGTGGACAGACAGATAGCTTTAGTGCACATAGAACTGGACTTAACTTTGTGAGCCTGTTCCATGTTGGATCTAGTCACAAACAGTAAAGGACGCTGTTCTTTCAGTCAAATTAGTTATACAAGCTAATAAAAATAAGGAGGAATATAAAGCATTAACAAATGATGCTTTCTCTTTGGCTGAACCAAACCAGAGGCCCAGGTGACAAGGTAGCCCATCAATGCAGTTCATAAGCGTTGCTGCTCAGGTCAGAGAGCAGGCGAGATGAGGGAGGGAGGGATCTGGAGGGACAAATAGGAAGTGTCCAGTTTCTAAGACTTTTGTTGATGGTTTCCTTCACTGTGCAAAAGCTCTTTACTTTGATGTAGTCCCCTTTATTTTTTCTTTTACTGCCCTTACCCAAAGAGACCTATCCAAAAAGAAACTGCTAAGACAAATCAATGGTAAAGAGTTTACTGCCTTTCCAGCTTTGTTTGAACTGAAAGGTGACATTCTTCTTTTTCTCTCCAGGGGCAGGTGGACACATAACACAGTGACAGTCTCCAGTAGCTCACTGTCTTCTGGCCTTTTTGTTTTTAGTAATTTTTTACTTTATTGAAGTATAATTGACATATAACGTATTGTTATAACACAAATCAAATCACAACATGGTGATTTGATATTTGCAAAATGATCAACCACAATAAGTTTCATTAACATCCATCACCTTACATATTTACAAATTTTCTTCCTTGTGATGAAAACTTGTAAGATCTACTCCTTAGCAACTTTCAAACATACAATATGGTATCATCAATTATAGTCACCATCTCTGTATTACATCCCCATGAATTATTTGTTTTATAACTGGAAGTTTATACCTTTTGAACCCCTTGACCCATTTGCTAAACCCTCACCCCAAAAGTCTTTACACCTTCTGCTTCTCAGAGGCTGGAGGACACCGAGTGGCTAAGACTGGCAAAGTCAGACAGGATCTAACCCTTTACACATCCTGGGTGGTCTCTTCTGCAGGTGTCTCTGCAGGACTAACTAAGCCACCCCCTGGAGATACTGGTCAGTAACTGGACAGTTAAGGGGAAGGGAAGACATCCATCCTCTGTGATGGCATGGGATCATCTGTAGTGGGGCACAAATGACCGTTTATTTACATTACAAACCAAGAAGAAATACTGGATGTGAGTTCTGACCTTGAGGAGAGAATCCTTGCATTGCAGTTTACACATTTAATCATGAAACAGTTTAATACAAAACATACTTGCCTGTTTTGTCCATTTGTACATATTTTGGCTCTTTAGTTGTTTCTTCAACACATTTGGCTTTTCTTAGCAGAGAACTAACCTGTAATAGCTCCCTATTTTTGCCCATGTGACTTTGTATAAAATTTCTTATTTTGGAGAGAGGAATAGGCTGTGTGTGTATTTCATCCAAAAGCAGCATTGTGTTCATTGTTTTACTCTGCAAAGATCATTTTGTTCTAAAGATATGATATAAATGCTTGTCCTATGCTATATTTAATTTCACTACAATAGAATTCATCCACTAGTTTAAAATAAAAGATTATTTCAATGTTAAAGCAAATTTTATCTATACAGAGGACTTAGAATTGAATAATAAAAGATTAGTTCAAGTTCATAGCATTTGTATCATATACTTGAAAATTATAACTTATTGGTATATATAGTACAAAAGTAATTTCTTTGGCCTTTTAAAAAATATTAGATAATACTCAGTGGAGGACACCACACAATAGATCCAAAGTTGAGAAAATGTGATAGGAATTTGAAACATGTAACTACTGGTTGTCCTCAAAGCTCATTGGAAGGATGTGGTAGATAAATTTTAAACTTTTAATTTTAAAAACCCTTCTCATATCAGTTAATTTATTCATCTAGTCAAACTAATATTTGTGACAGAAACTATGGTAAGATCTTCAGACAGAAATGGTTAAGACATTGTCCTTATATTTAAGGAACTCAATCTTTTTTCTTATATCTTCACAGAAATTTTTAAATGTAGGCTTTGCTCCTGTTGAGTATTAATGGACTAAGTATCTCTCACACTGCCGTACTCGTTAGACCTGTTTATGTGGAACCATGAAAGTCACAGTGAAGTGGGATCTTAGTTTCCCCAGGTCATAGCTCCTGTTTTAATATTTTTTGATGTCCTTGCAGGAAGTGCCTTACATGTGCCTTCCAGCAGTAGGAATGAATCTTCCAGCAGCCCCATGAAACCATCTACAACTTCACTTTCCTCAGTGACCAACACCTCAAAATCCACAGCAAAACCGTCAACAACTTCAGTTACTTCAGTCACAAAAAGGGTGACAGTCACCACCTTGAAACCCACAACAACTTCTCAAGTGACAACACCAGGGGTCTCAAAAAATATGACATCCACCACCTTAAAGTCTACACCCAAAATAACAAGTGTTTCACAAAACACATCACAGGTGTCAACATCCACGATGGCCACAACCCACAACAGTTCGGTGACATCTGTTCCTTCATCAGTAACAAGTATGTATTAAAAATGATCTACTTTTCATATGCTGAAAATAGTTGTTAATTTAAATGCCACATTTAGATCATCATTCCATTTTGCAAAAAAAAATAACAAATTTAAGCAATGATTTCCTATTAAATAAATTAGTTGTAGAGATCAGGAAAAGAGCTGATTGACCTAATGTTCTTGTCCATTTAAAAAAAAAAAATGGTTTTCCAACTTAATCATACCAAACAATGACTGTATAAGACCCATTTGTGAATAAGCACTTTATCTAACAGGGGACTTTATTTTATGGTTTGAAAATTTGTCATACCTTTAACTCTTTACCTCATTGTAGGAAGGAATTAGGCAGGCTCGATCTACATGATTTCCAAACCAAAATCATGGTGAACTTTGATTTTAATTCCTATGTGTCACAAAGATATTTTAAAATGATATTAGATATAGTCATATATGTAGTTTCAGAGTCTCAGCACTCTTTACTTTTTGCATTTTTAAAAATATGATGTTTGTGAAACCATGAATTCAGAAACCTTAAGGAGATGCTCCTTGTAAGTTATCCAGCACTAGAGCTCTTTTTAAGAGCTGGTATACTTATCAGAACAAATAGCAGACTCTCTGCTTTCTTTTGTGTGTTTTTATACATTTTACTCCATCTGATTTATTTTGTTTATTACTACAATTTATTTATTGAAATCAAATATTATGTCTTAGGGGCTCTTCCCATGATTCAAACCAAAATAGTTTAGATTTCTAATTTATTCAAAAGGAGAAATTTCAGTCAGAAACATTTATTCAGATTGGATCTAGTTTCAAGATTATAGCGGTGCTACCCAGACCTCTTTTGTTAAGGCAGGAGCTCTTAAGAGGATTTATAAGGAAAAGAAAAAATCATGAAGGCTTGCTGTCTCTGAGGTTTTGGTAGAGACTAACCAAGTCCAGCACCATCAAACACCTTTAGATCTTGGGGTTGCAGGCACTAGGGGGTTTTCATTAAGAGATATTTTGGATAAACTGAAGAAAACTAGAGCCAGGCAAGTCTCCACAGATGCTAGAGAGCATCTTTCTATGCTTAGAGACCTTCTTGTCCCCAATTCCGTGTTCATTTAGAGATTCAGAAAATTTTAGTTTATTACAGTGTTTTTAAAAAGTACTAAAGCCTGTTTTGTTTTCTTTCAGTCACAGCAACTATAAATTCTAAAGAAAATAAAGGATCAAAATTTGAAATTGGCAGCTTTGTTGGTGGTATTGCATTAACACTGGGAATTTTATCTATGCTTTACATTGGATGCAAAGTATATTATTCAAGAAGAGGCATTCAGTATAGAACCATGTGAGTTTTGATTGCCCAGGACTTTAATTTTATTTATTTCTGTGTTTATTTAAATATCATGACAAAATATCAGAGTAGTAGGGGTAGTATTCATCTCAGAGATGAGTAATTTGTAGATTTATGAGTTATGTTCCCATTAAGCCTCTATGCCCAAATTACTTATGTACAGCTTCTGAATATATTTACAAACAGAAATAGATGTACGTACCTATAAACATGTTTGTATTTTCTAATGTTATGCATTTTTTACCAGAGACCCGAGTTAAACCAACCCTCTTTATTTGATTTTAGTTCTAATCCTAAGAAATACTGTAACAGGTTTCATGTGGCTGTTGATCTAGCAGCATATTTTGTGTTACTAAGTAGCGTTAAAATAACATTCTTGGTAAAAACATGGGTTTTGCTTTTTATGACGAAGGCAAAGCACCTAAAGAAATTTTTTTGACAGCCACATTTTCCCTGATAATTTACTATATCAAATGATTTGTTAGTATAACATACATTATCATTTTATTGTAGTAAAACTACTTTTTAGATGATCACCAAACCATGTTCACCTTTCACCAATTGCGTAGGTCTTACAATTTTTGGAGGTAGTACCTCCCAACTTTTGTTACACCAACAAAGTCCTTTTAGATTTTTTTTTTTTTGAGTCTTCTATGTACAAGTACCAATTCCTTCTTTTGATGTTAACGTATGTAAGTATCATAGAAGATCATTCTCCAAAATCTGTTCTTTTTAAGTTGTAAACATATGCTTTCCACGTAAGAAACATTTGGGAAATACTGAGCCTTGAAATTTGCAATAATTTTTTAAAATCACTGTTTCTAGAAATATTATCTGTTTTCTTGGTGAATTTAAGCAGTTAGATAGAAGGCACATTTTCATTATAGTAAATTAAATGCCAATTATTTTTTATAACCGATATGTATTCATATACTCGAGGCTATAAAATAGTGTAACAATTAAATTAAAATAGGTGTTTTCCTTTTAAACTGCCTTAACTGTGAAGTATGCAATTTTAGCTTTATGGGCTAATTTTTTGCTTAGACATACATGACCACATGATGCTGCATGCCCTGTGGAGTAAGTCAGGGTCCAGCATCCCCGTTGCTGGAAGAAAACCGTGCTGGTAGAAGCACTTTAACTCTAAAAGGAGTCTTATTTTCATGTAGGAACCAGTAGATGGTGAAAATACCATATTTAGTTGAGTCTAAGTACACATTTTTGTTTTTATCACATTTTAACACCTCTGAAATTAGGATATATCTTACAGTCCATGGGGTGAGAAAGCACTGTGTTTTAGTTCAACTAGCTGTATTTTTCATAGTGCTATGTAAAAAGATGAAAAAAAAAATAGTGCATTTTAAAGTCAGTAGGTCTTTTGAAATTACAAAAACTGGCATTCCATAAGTAAAGACTTAATATTTGTCCCATTAAAGAAACTGAGACCTTCTATATTCAGTAATAATGAAATTTCTAGTTTTCACTTACTGGATACTAACTGATTAAAATGTTAGCTTCTATGTTTCTTAGACTTGTATGGAGGGAGAGTGGAATGAAATAGTTAAGACATGGGGTTTGGGGCAGACTTATTGGGTTGGCCAAAGTTTGTTCTTTCCTGTATGATGGCTATAGTAGTTATCTTTAACTACTTAGTTATCTTTAACTTCATTCAAGACAATTTTGTTATATTTAACTTCATTCAAAACAATTTTGTTAGGTTGTATTGTGACAGCTGACATAACAGTGTGCATTTAAAAAAACTTACCAAAATTGGTTTTGTTATCAAAAACTTATCACAATTTTTGTGTAGCCATTTCAATATTAAAGATGGAAGAAAATACGTAACATTTTCAGCATATTATGCTTTATTATTTCAAGAAAGGTAAAAACACAACTGAAACTCAAAAAAGATTTGTGCAGTGTATGGGAAGGTGCTGTGACTGATGGACTGTGTCAGAAGTGGTCTGCAAAGTTTCTTGGTGCCATTGCCATTCTGGCCAAATAATTCTTTACTGTGGGGCTGTCTTATGCAGTGATGCAGTGGAAGATGTTTAGCAGCAGCCCTGGCCTCTACCCACTAGAAGCCAATAGCAGGAGATAGCCTGCATACTCAAAATATGCAAATCAATAAAGTTATTAGCAAAAATAAAACTAGACGGACTTTCTGGCAAACCCAGTAGTTTTAAGCCTGTTCAACCGCTGACTGACAGGGTGCCTTCCCGTGCCTACATAAATGAGGCAGCATAGTGCAGCGATCAAGATGAGGGTTCACATGCTTGCTTAGCCTCTGCTCCTGTGCAAAATGGGAGAATGAATAAATCAAGTAAATAAACGTGCCCTCTGCATCGGGTTCCTGCGATGATTACATGAGCTAGGGATGTAAAGCCTGTAGTACAACAGCTGGCACATAGTAAATGCTCAAGAAATGATGTGGTTTTCTTTTTTAAAGAGGGTTAGAATAGCTAACTGGTAAAAAGTGACACAGCCCTAAGAGGCAGAGCAGAGATTTAAGTCTAGGCTTGACAGCCCGAACCACCGTTTGAATCCTTAGCCACTACAGTATACCAGGTACTTTCACGTAAGAAACTTTACACAAAGGAATTACAATTAATTTTAATTCTGAAACTTGAAATTATTTGTTACTTTACTTTAAAATATGAATATATGAGTAATTTTGATACAAATACCAAACAAAGTAATTGTAACTTTTGATATATTACAGTGATGAACATGATGCCATCATTTAAGGAAATCTAAGGACCAGTGGAAAGAAGATTGATGCAACCCTATTGATGAGTTTAAGACAATATTCTCTTTTTGTAAACAGTATAAACAGGCCATGCATATAATGTACTATATATATATATAAATATGTAAAGATTCCTCATGATTACTAAAGGTAAAGAGGATTTGTTTGGGGTTTCATTTGGAGCACACAGTTAATGCAGTGGTTATATTCACTTTTAGGAAATAGATAGTAAGACAAGTCCTGTTCCATTTTCTTGTGGCATTTGGTCACGTAAGGCCAATACTTGGAAGACATCATCTCTAAAGGGCACAGTGCCATCTGGACATACCAATAAGGAGCTTATCACAGCACTCAGGATGTTGAGTGTCTTTACTGCTCACATAGAGAACTCAGTGCTACACAGAGCTGGATATATCCTCATTACTAATGTCACGCAGCAGAAATTTTATGGGTAAACCAGATCCTAAGAATAATTTTAGTTTAAGTGTCTCTTCAAAAAACATGAATGTTTTATGTTTTAGTACTTGGTTTAGAAACAAAACGCACCCCCCTCCCCAAATAAAACAAAACAAAAATCAAATAGAAGCAGAAACAATACAGGAGTGTAGCCCTGTTAGAGAGCCCGCATTTTTAATAACTTTTTTCAAGCTTTCAGTGGCAGTTGATATAATGATCTTTTTTCCCTGTCTGTAATTTCAGTAAGTTGCAGTGTTTAACAGGATAATGTTTTAAAGTCTTAGTTGTTAGTATTAAATAAGAAATTAGATTATTTGCTACTGTGAGAATATCGTCACCACTGGAAATTGCTTTATTTCATATTCAGCTATTATATTATTTAGTGAATATTTTTAAGAGATGTAGAGTTGCTTTCAGTATATAGAAATGTTTAATGCAGCATAAACACACCTAACTGGGGGTGGGGGGGAGCCGCTCATGTGACTTCCGGAACAACGTTCAAAACTCTGTGCTTCAATGTGGTTCTCCGCACTCCAGATGAACGCTCTGTTTACCAAGCTGAGGACCACAGTGCTCCCCTCAAGCTACTAAACCCACAAGGTGAAAATACTGCATTTTTCTGCACTGTTGGTTTTACTGAAAAGTTTAGGGAAACAGCATTTTTAGACTAAAATACTAACGAATTTTGAAATAAATTCTTAATGAAGTTTTAAGACAGGAATTCCTTATTTGCATCTTCTTCCCACCACTCCTCTCTTGCCGAAGAGGAGGCACTTTCCGATGTATTGTTTAACGGACGAAAAAAGTGTAGTACTGATAGGAACACCACTGTTACCAACATATTTTGAAGTGTTTTTAGTTTTACAGTTTATATCCTAGCACTCAAAACTCAGGGTCAAGTTTTGACAAAAGAGGTATTCAGTTATACTAAGATAGTGTTTCTGTTAGATTAATCAAAGTAAAACCACACCAATTTCTAATAGTCTAAAAATGAGCTAAGATACTCTATCTAATAAACCTGCAGCTACATTTAACAGGAATTTAAAGTAACTTTTGTGATCAGCTGTTGGCTTATGGAGACTATATCATGAAATTTGACATAAAAGAATCATTTCTACTCCCTGTGCATTATGGCCAATTGATGGGATGAATGTGGAGGATAAAAATTATCCAAAATACGGATGTGACAGGATGTATGTGCCATGCTGTTTGGAGAAAATACTATGAAACTGGTAGGCCTTTTATAGTAATGGGGGCCTTTTAAATTTAAGTTGTTTTATCCCCTGCATTCTTGATATTTCAGTACTTCAGATAAGTCAGAACTTTGTAGACAGGGCTGAAGTTTTCTTGCATACTTATTTCTTTAGCACTTTGAAGATAAAAGACCACGTTTTAAATAATAAATGTCATCATATGCCTTTAAAGTTTTCCATGCTGTGGGTTTGAAATAATTTAGTTATGTCTTTTCTCTGTATATAAGTTGTATAATTTGCTACTTTTAAGTACCAGTATTTCTATACAGTCAGGTTTTTTTGGTTATGTGCAAAAATTGAGGGAAACAGGGAGGCAAACCAATATTTTGCTTTGGAGCACATTTTCTAATTTTTTTCCTAATTATGTTGACTTAAAGCAAACATTCAATTTTGTTTGCATTCTTTGAGAATGTATTTACTTGAAGATGAAAGCATTTCAGATGTATATTAGGCAGAATCCATTCAGTGACTTTAAAATTTCCTTGGATAATTCATAAAATATATAATTCAAATACAGATACATGAGAGTTGTCAGTAGATTACAGGAATAAGTTTGTATTTTTCAGGAAAAAGTTTAAAGTGAATTCCTCTTTTTTTCTTTTTATTATAATGACCAGCTTTGGGTATTCCATTGTTAACTAAGATCTAAGATCTATTTTTAGAATAAAATTTTGTTCACAAAGAGTTTTATGTGGGTGGTTTTGCTTCATTTCATCTAACTCAGGAGAAATTAACAGAATAGGAAAACCCCAAAATAAAAAGTCAGATTGTTGACACTGTAAGCATAGTTATCTGAACCACGAGAAGCATCTCCCGGAAACTTGTTAGGAGTGCAAACTCTTGAGTCCCCCACCCAAGACATACTGAAACTGTGGGGTAGAGCCCAGCAATCGATGGTATAACAGTCCTGCCAGGTGATTCTCATGAATACCAAAGTTTGAGAAACACTGCTGAAAGAATTTTCATAAATTTTTTAAAATAGGTATTTAAAATTGGGTAAATTTTTAAAAATAAGGTAAATTCACAGTAGGGTAAATTTTTTAAAATAGGTATGTTCACAGTAGAAATTAAAAAAAACACCACTATAAATCAACAGCAGGTGCATTAATGTATAGTATTCAAGTCCTTTTATTCTTTAAAAATGGATATAATTTAACTGAGAATAACAAATATTTGTTATAAGGTAATCAATGGAAAAGGGTGCAGTCCGCAGGAAATCCTCTATATAATAAAAAGTACCCTGTTACAGTATTTGTACACAATTTTTCTTCCCTTCTTACCCTTGCTTGGCTTCACTGTGGGTATGGCACGTACCTTGCTTTTGGCCCAATGGTATATCGGAGTACATGTAATAAATAGCACATCTGTCCGGAAAAAAAAACAAAAACCCTCTTAAGTTTCAGCTAATTATTATTTTTTGTTTAAAGTACACCGAGAATGACATCACCAAGATGGCAACATAGGTTGTCCCTGACTTCACTTCCCCTCACAAGGGTGCCCACTCTTCATCCTATTGAACATATACTGAAAGTCCTAGCTAGAGCAATGAAGCAAGGAGAAATAAGAGTCATCAGAATTGGAAAGAAAGAAGTTAAATTATCTCTGTTTGCAGTGACATGATCTTACATATAGGAAATCCTGAAGATTCCACAAAAACTGTTGGGTATACTCAACAAATTCAGTAAAGCTGCAGGATACAAAATTAATACACAAAAAGCAATAGCATTTCTATACAGTAATGAATGATCTGTGAAAGAAAACAGTTCCATTTATAATACTATTAAAAACAAAATGCATATAGGAATAACATGAGGTGAATGATCTCTATTCAGAAACCAACAAGAGACCAATGAAAGAAATCAAACAAATCAAAAGGTATCCCAAGTTCATGGAATGGAAGAACTAATTTTGTTAAAGTGTCAATACTACTAAAAGCCACTACAGATTCAATACAATCTCTGTCAAGAATCCAAGGGCATTTTTTACAGAAGTAGAAAAAAATCAAAATTTTTATGGAACCACAACATACCCCAAATAGCCAAAGCAATCCTGAGAAAGAAGAACCAAGTGGGAGGCATTACACTTCCTGATTTTCAGCTACAGTATAAAGCTATATGTGATTACCAAAGGTGGTGGGAAGATGGGGGGAAATCAATTTAAATAAAATAAAAGCTATAGTAATCAGAACAGTATGGTACTTGCATAAAAACAGATGAGTGGAAAAGAATCAAGAGCCCAGAAATAAACCAATGCATATACATCAGCTAATATTTGACAAGTAGTAAATGGTCATTGAAGGAAAGTCAGACTCTGGTACACAGTTCTGGGAAAATTGAATATTCACATGTAAAATAATGAAACTAGGCCTCTATCATACACCACTCACAAAAATTAACTCTAAATGGATTAAAGACTTAAATATAAGACTAGACACCATAAAACTCCTAGAGGAGACCAGGAAAAAAGCTCCTTGGCAATGAATTTTTGGATATGATACCTAAAGCTCAAGCAAAAAAAATAAAATAAGTAGGACTACATTAATCTAAAAAACATTCATAATAAGAAACATTTGATAAAATACAAACATTTTAAGTCTACTCTGCTATTATGTGATTTTACAAATTCATTAGTAGGTTGATAGTAAAGGAGAGAATACAATTTAACACATCTCTGGATATAAAGAGCTAACAACTAAGAAAAAAATTAGCTGGAGCACTCAGATTAAGTCCTGGAAGATTTCTACTGTGAACAAAAGGTACTCAGCATCCTGGCCCTTTTCCTGCACCAGCACCATACCCTACACACACTTATCCATCCTAACCCTTTGCTTTCCCACTTGAGGAAGAGCCGGACTTTTGCCCCAAATGTCTGGATTTACCATTTCGAACTACTCAAGGACCTTGCCTATTATTATTAATAAAACGATTTTTAACAATTAAGAACCAATTAAAGTGCCACCTCTTAACGGAGAATTTTTCCTATGCCTCCAGTGTTGCTTGCTCTCTGTGTTTGCTGCTCCTGCTGCTGCTGCTCCTGCTACTGCTTCAAAAGGTTGAGAAAAGGGCATGTAACAAAGGGCTTCTCAGAACATGTCATCCTGTCCTTTTGCTGTGGGATCAGAGAGGAAGTTTCTGGAAACTGCAAATGCTCTGCACCCAAAGAATTTAAAAAACAAAAAAATGGATGGAATACTTCCTAACTCATTCTGTGAGGCTAGCATTACCCTGATACCAAAGTTAGACAAACACACCACACGGAAACTACAAACCAATATCCCTTATGAATAAAAATGCAAAAAATCCTGAACAAAATATTAGCAAACTGATTCCAGTGGTAGTAAAAGGATTATACACCATGACAAGTGGAATTTATCCCAGGAATGCAGGGATGGTTCATCATAACAAAAATCAATGTGATATACCACATTAATAAAACAAAGAGGGAGGATGTGACCATCTTGATGCAGAGAGCGTATTTAACAATATCCAACATCCTTTCCTGATAACACTCAGAAAACTAGAACTAGGAGTGACTTTCCCAACCTAGCAAATGGCATTTATTTAAAAAACCAAAAATAAAAACAAACCCACAGCTAATGTACTCAATAGTAAAACACACTGCTTCCAAGATCAAGCACAGGTCACGGAAGTCCACTTTCATCACTGCTCTTCAACGTTGTGCTGAAAGTTCTAGTCAAAGAAATTAAGTGGGAGAAAAACAACAAACTGGAAAAGAAGTAAAAGTACATTTGTAGATGGCATGATCCTAATATAGAAATTTCCAACAAATAAAAAAAAAAACCTAGAGCTAATAATTCACAAGTTCAAGGGCACAAGATCAATGCACAAAAGTCAGTTGTGTTTTTATACACTAGCAGTGAAAAATCCAAAAGAATATTAAGAAAATAATCTCATTTACAACATCCAAAAAAATACCTAGGAAGAAATTTAACCAAGGAAGTGAAAGGCTTGTTCACTGAAAGCTACAAAACACTGCTGAAGTTAAAGGCATAATTAAATGGAAAAAAATCCCTGTGTTCATGGACTGGAAGACTTAATATTGTAAATATGGCAATACTACCCAAAGCAATTTACAGATTTCAATGCAATCCCTATCAAAATTCCAAGAGTTTTATCCTCAAATTCACATGGAATCACAAGGGGCCCCAAATAGCAAAACAATATTGAAAAATAAGAACAAAGTTTGAGGATTACACATCCCAATATAAAGACCAATGGAATAGAGTTGACCACCAGGAATAAACCCATAATCTATACTTTTTTTTTTTCTAGGCACTGAAGGGCACGTGCCTAATGTTTAAATTTTATATAAAAATATAGTTAGCCATTTGTTTTTTTGTGACCAGAGCACCTGATTCTATTCTCTTAGCAAATTTCCAGTATTCAGTACAATATTGACTACAGTTATGTTGTGCATTAGATATCTAGATATACTCATCCTACATAACTGCAATGTTGTGCTATTTTACTAACATGTCCCTATTTTTCCATTTCCCCTCCCCTAGTACCCACTGTTCTACTCTCTACTTCTATGTATTTGATTATGTGAAATTCTATACATAAGTGAGAGCATGCTTTTTTTTTTCTTCCGTATCTGGCTTATTTCACTTAGCTTTATGTCCTCCAGGTTTATCCATGTTGTCACAATGGCAAGATTTCTCTTTTTTTTCCCCAAGGCTAAATAATATTCATATAGATGATATAGATATACTTGTAGATACAGATACAGATGTATCAGTTTTTTAATTCATTCTCCAACTGGATAGTTTCCACATCTTACCTATTAACAATGCTGTAATAAATGTGGGAACACAGTATCTTCAAGGTACTGATCTCATATCCTTTGGGTATATGAGAGTATACCCAGACAGGGATTGATTCAGCAGTATGATTTAGCAGTATGGTAGTCTTCATACTGTTTTCCATAATTGTTACACCAATTTATAATCCCACCAAGAGTGTACAAGGGATGCCTTTTCAGCATTTGTTTTATCTCATCTTTTTAATAATAGGCATCTTAACAAATGTCAGGTGATATCTCATTGTGATTTTGATTTGAATTTCCTTGATGATTAGTGATGTTGAGTACTTTTTCATAATTCCTGTTTGTCTTTTATATGCTTTCTTTATAAAAATGTCTATTCAGGTCCTGTGCCCATTTTTTGATTGGGTTGTTTGGTTTTTTGTTTTTGTTACTGAAATGTATGAGTTCCTTACATTTTTTGGACATTAACCTCATCAGATATATTGTTTGCAAATATTTATTTCCATTCTGTAAGTCGTCTTCTCATTTTGCTAGTTTCCTTTTCTGTGCAGAAGCTTTTTAGTTTGATGTTGTCCCACTTGTTTATTTTTGCTTCTGTTGTCTGAACTTTGGGTGTCATATCCAAAAAATAATAGCCAAGGCCAATGTCATGGAGCTTTTCCCCTATTTTTTTTTTTAGGAGTTTTATGATTTCAGATCTTATGTTTAAGTCTTAAATCCATTTTGATCTATTTTTATATATGGTGTATGATAAGGGTTCAATTTCATTTTTTTGCATGTTGCTGTCCAGTTTTCCCAACACTAATTATCAAAGAGACTATCCTTTTCCCATTATGTATTCTGGATATCCTTGTTAAAAATTATTTGACCATATCATACAGGCTTGGGTTTATTTCTAGGCTCACTATTCTGTTCCATTGATCTATGTATTTTTATGCCAATACCATACTGTTTTGATTACTATAGCTTTGTAATATAATTTGAAATCAGGACGTTTGATGCCTCCAACTCTGCTCTTTCTCAAAATTGACTTGGAAATTTGGTTCCATAAAAATTTTATAATTTTTTTCTATTTCTGTGAAAAATCCATTGGCATTTTGAAGGGGATTGCATTGAATCTATGCATATTGCTTTGGGTAGTATGGTCATTTTAACAATATTAATTATTCCAATCCATGAGCACGGGATATCTGTTTTTCCTT